TTGGAGATCCCATTGCAAGGCCTTGTTCTTGTGAGTAAACAGTTGTGTCAAAAACAAACTTATCAAGATTCAAACACACTCTTATGCCCTCAACTATTTCATCCACCGAGAGCTGTGTCCGTTCCCCGAGTGTCGTGTCTGTCAGTAACAACCTCTTAGTTAACTCCAGAGCATCTTCCCTAGGGATGTTTGTGTACATTGAGATTACGTCAAAACTCATGAGGACTTCATCCATCTCCAAAGGAAACCCTGCGACCTTGTTGGCAAAGTCGTACGAATTCCTGATGAAGGTGCTTGATTTTTCAGTGGGCGGTTTTAGTATAGCAGCTAAGAATCTGGCCATTTCATGCGGCGGCGAGCCTATACCATCAACTATTGGCCTTATCGGTACATCTGCCTCGTGGATTTTTGGCAGTCCGTAGAGTCGCGGTTGAATCACACTTTTTGGATACAAAATAGTTTCAATTACAATACGCCATAATAGCTGATTGTTACACTCGCCGAACAGTTGGTTGCTCCCCTAATGAATTTAATATCAATGTGCCAAACCAACCTGGCTTCATTAACTGATAAAATAAAGCCGCGCATTTGACGTACAAAGTCAAGTGCTCTTGAGGGCTGGATCTGCGATTATGTAGGCGTTCATGAAAACACTAGAAACCTAGTATGTATGGAACGAGTGTCTTGGTTCCGTCCTAGCCGTTGATCGTTTCGCCAGGCTTGGCACCTCGACTGCAAAAGTTTCATCACTAATCGACGAGATATCACCAGTACGCGGTCGAATGGGTACTTCTTCCTTGCCTGCTGACTTCCATGTTTTCCATACATTGTCGGATATCAAGTGGTTTGACTGGTCATTAGCTGTATACCTTTCTCTTATTCCCACTAGTCCGTTTGGAATTCGTGTTGCCTCGTGTTCTGTTTTTCCCCCGTTTGGTTACTTCGTTAAATAGCTTTTCGAGCAATGGACCAATCAGAACAGTGTTCCAAGGTCCACGAAAGGAATATACTCCATGAACAAGACAAAGCTGGTTAACCATGGATCACACCCCTACATAAATTGCAAACAGACCAGTTAGATTACAAGTTTGATACATACAGTTTGCCACTTATATCAACCAATCTATTTGAGATATATGTAAACGCAAGCAAGGAAAGAGGATGGAACCATTCAGTGGTGTACTGGTAATGTCCGGTCAGTCAGTCTTGAACCGTTTGTAAGCTAAATGTCAAGTTCGGCGAGCTGACCAACAACCACCTGATCATCTATCAGTAAACGCATTTGACCCACTCACATCTCGATACACTGTCAACACTAGTGTCCAGTATTCAGCTGTTACCAGATATCCTATGCGATTATATATATATATATATATATATATATATATATATAA